ACACTCTTTTCCTTTAGAACTTCCTTCGGACCTCTGAGGCACCACTTTTTCTGACAACAAAGAGTACCTTTCTGAAAGAGAAAATGCATGGGACAAACTGTGTAAAGTACCTTTCTTGACCATGCTCTTGCTGGTAGGGGATCTTACCTTTTTTCATTTACCGATTCAATCAACAAATACTTGGGAGCCTATTGTGTGCCAGTACTGTGCTTAGCTCTGTAAAGCGCCTGGTAGATGTTCCAATACCTACTGGTATATTGGAATTATCATTTTCTATGACTGGAAGGGCTAACAAGCAAAATATGAGTTTTATAGGGATAGAGTTAGAATTAAGGGGTCCAAAGTAGAATACCCAATAGACCAACACAGCCAATGCTGTCTTGTCATGTTAGGTCTTTTTTTATTTATATCACTCCCTGGTCTGAGATGCAGTTTCTGAAAGCTGCTTGGTACATACACAGTGAGCACTGGATCTGCTCTGTGGTTCCCAGGAGCACCCACTCCAACCCTTATTTCTCAGAGTGATGATTTCATATAGCACTGCTCTCCACCAAGATGTGAAACGTGACACTGTGCCATCTGAAATAGCTTCAGGAGAGATTTAGGACATGGAACACTTATAGACAATGACAGAAAATTCTCTTTTGGGATATAACTACTTGTGTGACCCATAGCAGTGCCTTTTGGAGAATGTCTTGGGAAAACTATCTACATCTAAAGAACAACATTTGTTATTTTGGGATAAATGAATAAGGGAAAAACCTTCAGATCCTTGGAAGAATGGGACAGTTTGAATTCAAGCTAAAAATGATTACATTTTTCTACTCTATTATTTAGAAAACAGAAATAGAGAAGATTGCTTAAAAATTAAAGTCATCGATTTAGATCTCTTTTTGAAAGGTCGGTGTGTGGGAGATGAGAAAGGTAATGTAGTGATCAGAGTATTTACACAAGACATTTTAGCAGCAGGGCCTACAAAGAGCACATCAACTATTTATATATCACCTACATCAAGTTGCTGGTCATTTCACCTAGCAAAGAAAATAAAGAAATTTTCTTTGGACATTCTCTGGGTAACAATACAGTTTTGGAATCAGCTGCTAGAAACTATAATTAAAGCTGGTTTATCATGTTCACCAATTATTCTACATAGTTAGTCTCCCTGAAGTTTTATATAATTCTCCCTTTGTTATAAACTTCTGTTTCTCCCTAGGGTATTTTGGATCCAGACAGGTAAAGAACTGAAGTACTTGGAAACCTGTGTATTGTAATATCTGTACAGCTAAGCAGATGTTTTCAATTGAACTTAAACAATTTTTTTTAACTTTCTGTATATTAGATAGGGCCAGCTATTTAGAGGTTTCAGCTCTACTGCTTGGGTAGGAGCAAAAGGAAAGAATGAAGAAAAACAAAAATTGGAAAAGGATACACCAGTATTTCTTTCAGGAACAACTTAACACTAGGGACAGAAGGAGGTCTTTATTCAGCAACTCCTAATCACCGACGTTGTTGTCAGGCTAGCCAAGTATCTGCCAACATCGGTGATCCTTTCATTCACCACTAGAGAGAAGTAGAGGGATCTGATGTTTAGAGAAGCAGCAAAACCCATTTCCCGTTTTTTCTTCCTTCAGCCAGATGGAAGTGCTTGCAAGCTGGTCTCATATTCCAGCACTTTGTTGCTGATGATGCAAATCCTCTCTGCTCCAGAGCAACTCTGTGCCACGGAAGGGAAGAGGATCCTCTCTCCTCATGCCTAAGGCCATGGAAGCGGATTTCAGAGCTTCTCAGATGCTGTGAGACTAACGGGCACATACGGTAGGCTCCAGGGAGGGGCAGAGTAGGGCAGTGCTAATAATGGGAACTCAAGGGACAAGAGCAACTACCTGAGAAACAAATGTGGAACATTTTACCCCGCCCCCAATCCACTCCCCTTCATTTTAGGTTCCTCTTCATTTCCCCCTTTTCTACCAAGTAGTAGTTGATACTCAGTTGAGCACAGCTCAGGTTTTTACCACGCAATGTAGTAGAACATCATATCCTTGGCCATTTGTAAAATTAAGAAATCTCCAGCTCACAATAGGCTGTGTGGACAGGATTTGCATCTTTGGAAACCAAATGGAAGCCTTTCTTACTCTTTTCCAGGCTACTCTCCATTTCCTTTTTCACTTGTGGTCCTTGTTTCCTCCAAGTGCACCAGATCCATGCACAAAACCAGCTTTCAATAAATATCAACACTTCAGCAGGTTGTGAACTCCTGCAGAGCTATCTTAAATATTGTACATCAATACAAAGTTTTATGGAGCCTCAGAGATCTCTAAGAACACTGTAAATATCTCTGGTTTAATTAGTAGTCCTGAAGTTAGGTAATGGCCTGTGGCTTTCTGAGCTAGGCCTCTTGGGGTTTCTGGTCTTCAGGGGGCTGCCTGCAGCTATGATGTGCACATACACAATCTTCTTGCTTATTCATGGCATAAATCCTCTTTAGACCTTCCTAGGCACCTACTCTCAATTATTGCAACACACATGCAAATTCATTCTCATTCTCCTAAATTTTGAAAAAAACAAACGACCCAGTGCCTCAGGTATTTTTGGACTCGAGTTCTACTTCCCCAAGGGAAAGAATTAAAAAGAAGAAATTCCTAGATTGGTGTTGATTGATGCCAATGCTCTTCAAGCAGAAGGTGGACGGCATGCTTTGTAGTTTTTTGATGTCGTGGTGGTGGTGGTGGGGGTTCGCTCCAATCCTCAGCATTTCTGAACCAGCTTTCTCACGGGGACAGGTCAACCAATCGGGACTGTAAGCCGACTTGACAGGTTTGTTCTGGGCCGCCGGGCACTGACTGAGTTCTCCGACCAGATAAGCCACTTGGCTGAGTCTACAGTAGGTGGGGCGCGCTCACCAGCTGAGTGTTAGTGACTGGAAGTTCGTTGCAACATCGGGGAACCCAAGCAGCAGGCTGCCGCCGGAGAAACCCTTCTGCCCCGGGAGCACCGCACCCGTTGGGTTCATTCTGAAAGGGACAAGGGAGGCAGTTGCCTCAGACCCCCAGAGCCCAGCTCCACGTTTGGGACCCAGAGCAAGGGGTCTCGGGTCGCGATCCTTTGACTTTGCTCTATGCGTGGCAGCGTGGGGACGCCCTCCCCGTGTTCCCCGAGAAACGGCGACCGGCGGCGGACCGGGGAGCCGGGGGCACGTGCTTTCAAGTGGGTGCTTGTGTAACCAGCTCCCCAAGCGACAGCCCCGACAGCACTCCGTCGGGGGCTCCTCTGAGCCCCCTTTTCCGCTCCGACCCTGGTGGGACCGGGGTCCCGCTGCGCACACTGGGCGAGAGCACCCCGGGCAAGAGAAGAGACGCACTTGCCTCTGGAGCTATCAGAGGGGACCGGGAATTTGGAAAGTTCCCCAACTAGGAGCACACGTGACCTCCTTCAGAAAGTAGTTCCGACTGAGGCCCGCGTATCCCTCCACCTCCTTATGAACCTTCCTAGGTCTCCTCGCCCCGCCCACCCGCAGGGCTGCAGCTTCCTACCGGCCCGTCTGCCACACTGGGGCTCGGTCACGCCGGCGTGCGCGGCCTGGCCAGGGAGCGCGGAACCTGGCCGCGGGCGATCCAGCCTGCCGGGTTTTCACTGCGGCCAGGAAGGGGCGGGGCGAGGTAGCCTCTCAGGACCTAGCTGGAGTTGGACGCGGCGAAGCGACTCGGAGCCCGCGGGGAGAGATGCTCTACTCTCACGGGGGCGCTGGAGGGGAGCTGCGGGGTGCGTCTCACCCGGGGGCGGCCTCCCACTTGCAGTCCACCTAGACAAGGTCCCGTTTAGGCCTTGGCGATGCAGGGGCGATGCGTTCACACACCTCACGCTCGCCTAGGAGCTTTGGTTTTTAGGGCAACTGAGCCGAGTTGCCGGGGAAGCGAGAGGTGGGGCGGCGAGAGGGAGCCGGATGAGGTGATGCACGCAGGAGACACAATGGGAGGTTGTTCTTTGTGCTGACTGACACCTTGAGGACACGGGGGGTGGGGGTGGGGGTGGGGGTGGAGGATCTCCAGGCAAAGGCTGATGCAGCCAAGTCCCTGGGAGCACTTGCGACCCGACAGCGGTGCAAAAGGAGAGCGGACGCAGGCCACACCGGGGCAACCTAGGGGCCGGGGCAGAGGGGTCTCGCTGCAGGGACCGCCCCTGCATTTCCCTACTCGCCGTCCAGCGCGGTCACCTGGCACTTTCCACCTGTGCACCGGTAACCTCGGACTCGGGTCAGTGACACTGCTCGACGCACCCGTCTCAGCGTTCGTCTCCGCCCCCTACCCCCACCCCGCAACAGCCCAGCCGGGCTCCGGCCGGGATTCTGGGCAGAGGCCGGGGCAGGGCAGGTCGTCCCCGGCCCGTGGTGCCGCAGCAGCAGCTACGGCAAGTGCAGCTCCGGGCGGGCGCCTCGGAGCAAGCCCGGGCGAGCCCCCGGTAGTCGCACTGGGCATGCTCAGTAGCGCCGGCA